ATTTAGTAAACAAACTAATATAAAATTTAAATAGTGGAAAAACAATCAACAACAAAAAAGAATATCATCTATGAAGAGTGAAAAAAAAAAGGTTTACAAAGATGAAGAAAAAAACCCCCACACAACAAAAACCTAAAATAGCTGTTAAAAGAGACTTTGCATATTGCAGTAGAGACACCAGGAAGCCAAAGCCAAGGGAAGAAATAAAGACGTTAAGGAGTTAAACAGAAGATTTCAAAGGGCAGCTCAGCAAGAAAAAGCAAAGTATTATAATGAAATGTGCAATGACCTGGAGTTGCAAAATCAAAAGGGATGAATCCTCTTGGTATTTTGTTCTTGAGCTGAAGGGACTGAAGAACAAACTCAAGCTTTGAGTTGCAATACTTAAAAATGCTATGGGCAGAATGTTGAATGATCCAGGATGCATCGAAAGACGATGGGAAAAGAACACAAAATTAATATATCAAAAAGAATTGGCAGACACAGAAGAATTTCATGAAACAATTTATGATCAAGAAGCAATGGTAATGAAGGAGAAGGTCAAGCTGCTCTGAAGAAATTAAAAAAACAAGACTCCAGAATATGATGGAATACCGATTGACATATTTCAACAAGCAGATGCTTCCCTGGATGCATTCACCAGGTTATAGCATGGAATCTGAAGGATAACTACCTGGCCAATTTTCTTGAAGAAATCCCTATTTATTCCTATTCCCAAAAAGGTATTATGATAGAGTGTGGAAATCAAACAATATCATTAATATCATATGCACACAAGATCCTGCTGAAGATAATTTAAAAAATGACTGGAACAGTACATCAGCAGAGATTTACAAACTGGGTTTAGAAGAGGCCATGGAACTAGAGACATTATATCCAAAGCTAGATGGATCTTAGCTGAAAGAAAAAAGTACAAAAGGAATGTCTGTGTTTAACTATGAAAAGGCATTTGACTGTGAGGATCACAACAAATTGTGGCTAACTTTGAGAAGAATGGGAATCCCAGAACATGTAATTGTGCTCATCTGAAACCTATATTTGGATCAGGAGGTATTTGTCAGAACAGGGCAAGGAAACACTGCACAATTCAAGATCAGGATAGATGTACACCAGAGATGCATCCTATCTCCAGTCCTTTCCAATCTATATGCAGAATAGATCATCCAGGAAGCTGGACTTTATGAGGAGGAATGTAGCATCAGGATTGGGGTAGATTCACCAACAACCTATGTTATGCAGTTGACAAAATCTTGTTTGCTGAAACTGAGGAGGACCTGAGACATTATCTAGGGAAGGTCAAGAACTGAAGTTTTCAATATAAATTGAAGCTTAACATCAAGAAAACAAAGATTCTCACCACTGAGCAAATTGACAGCATCATGAGAGATGGAGATTCGTTAACAGTTTTCGTTTGCTTGGTTCCACAATCAACACTTTTAGTACCATCAGCCAGGAAATCAAAAGACAAACTGCACTGGGAAAATCTGCTGTCAAGAACTTCTTCAGAGTACTGAAGGGCAACAATGTCAGTTTAGAGACTAAGGTGTACCTGATCAAAACCATGGGCTTTGCAATTACTTTCTATGCATCAGGGAGCTGGACAATGACTAAGGATGATAGAAGAAGAATTGATGCCTTTGAGCTGTGGTGCTGGAGAAGATTATTGAACATGCCATGGACTGCTAAAAGAACAAACAGGTTCATCCTAGAGAGGGTGAAACCAGGTGGCTCTCTTATCACCTTCCAGATTCTGCTAATCAAATCTGTACGTTTAATTTTTTTTTAAACTGTGTTTCATTCAGCCATTCATACACCTTTCATTTCTTTTCATAGATAGTGTATTTTTAAGGTTCACATAGTTAGCACATGTATTTCATTCCTCTAACAATTGAGAAATCTAAAAACTAACTTTCTCTCATTACCCTTGAGTTGGAACTAACTCTCCATGGAATTTCTGAGGCTGTAAATTAAAAAAAAAGAGAGAAAGAGACTGCATATTTTTCTCTCCAGGAGCCAGTGGTAGATTTGAACTGCTGGAGAAACTCAGCTTTTGGGTTGGCAACACAACTCCTTATAGACGGTGCCACTAGAGCTCCCTAAAGAACTAACAGAACATATGAACTTCAGTTTTCATTACCTGGAGATCAAAACTAAGGACCTTAGTAACCCTTCAAGCCTGGAACTAAAATCACTGCTTTGGTTTAACTTGCAGTCAAACAATAAGGCCTCTAAGGTGATCAGTAACACCTGGGACAAATGCAAATATATATACAAGATCAAAAGGCTATATTTGTTCAGGGATAAAGTACAGGAGGCAGGAAAGGACAGGAAAGAACAATGACCAGAAATGAGAAACACAAGGAGGAAATGGGAAGAATATTGTAATCAATGTCACAAAACATAATGGTTGAGTTGTCAAATGAAAAACAAATTTTCTCTGTAAACTTTCACTTAAATCACAATGAAAGTAAAAAAAAAATGTCACTAGTTACAGCACGCCTAGTGCCTAGATCTTGATTTCTAATGCATTATTCAGGGCTCCTGGAAAAAAAAAAATCACTGATCCTGGGACTGGGCCCATTTAGGTAAATGAAAGAAGTATTGAAGTTCTCAATAATTTTCTTCTTGGTTTTACAATAAAAACCCATGGAATCAGAAGAAATAAAATTATTGTTGCTGTGAGCCTCTGAGTCCTAACTGACCCATAGCTAACCCTCCAGCGGGTTTTCAGAAGTTTCGTTTTACTTGGTTTTGCAATCAAACCCCTGGAAACAGAAGTCAAGAAATCAAACGATATAGGAGAAATCTGTTGCAAAAGACATCTTAAAAATGTTTAAGAGGTGAGTCTGAGTGCTACTCAGTATTAATGGCCCTGGCATAGCTTCTACGTGTGGTAAATCAGCCGCAGGCACTCTTGGGAAAGCCTGCTTAAGATGATGGATTAAATGACTCGAAGGCAGGTTCAAGATGAAACCTCAAGTCCTGGTGTGATTATGGCAGTAAAGACTTTTAAAAATGCCGGGGAGGAAGAGAACAGCTATATGACTTTAAATCTGTATTTCAAAATTGGGAAGGGTGTATGCCAGAGCTGTAGCCTGTCTCCATACCTTTTCAATCTTTATGTAGAACAGTTTCTCCAGGAAGCTGGGCTCTATGAGGAGAAATGTGGCATCAGGATTGGAGGAAGAATCAGCAACAATTTGCGTTATGCAGAGGACAAAATCTTGCTTGCTGAAACTGAAGAGGACCTGAAGCACTTGCTGTGGAAGGTCAGGGACTGCAGTCTTTAGTATGGATTGAGACTCAATATCAAGAAAAGATTCTCACCACTGGGCTGATTGGCAGCATCATAATGCATAGTGAAGAGATTGAGATTGTTCACAGTTTTGGTTTGCTTGGATTCACAGTCAACACTCTTGGCACCAGCAGCCAGGATATTAAGAGACATTGCAATGAGAAAGTCTGCGGTTAGAGACCTTTCTAAAGTGCTGAAGTGCAAAGATGTCATTCTGGAGACTAAGGTGCACCTGATACATGCCATGGTCTTTGCAATCACTTACTATGCATCGGAGAGTTGGATAGTGATGAGGGATGATAGAAGGAACATTGATACCTTTGAGCTGTGGTGCTGGAGAAAAGTATTGAATATACCATGCACTGCTAGGAAAACAAGCAGGTTTGTCCTGGAGAGGGTGAAGCCAGGATGCTCCTTGGAGGCAAGGATTCTGAAGCTTCGTCTGACATACTTTGGACATGTTGCAAGGAGGGACTAGTCCTTGGAGGGACGTCATGCTTGGGAGGGTGGGGGGACAGCACAGGAGAGGAAGACCCTTGATGAGATGGATTGATTCAGTGACTGGGGTAATAACAGGGACAGGTGTGTAGTAGTAGATGGTGAGATTGGCACAGGATAGGGCAGAGTTTAGTGCTCTTGTACATAGGGTCACTATGAGTTGCAGGCGACTCGACGGCACACAACAACAACAATATTCAATGACTTGGATTCTAAGCACACGTTTGCTCCTTCAGTGATTCTGTCCCTTCAGCCAGAGGTCCATGCCAAAGCATATCTCTTCTCCTCACATTGCCTGTTAGGATTCTACAGCTTTTCAAAGGTCATCTTCAGCCAAGTAGAAATTAATACTATGGGGGACCATGAGAATACCGTGAATGGAGAAAATCCAGGCAGGAAGACCTGGAGATGCTCTTAGGACCCAGATGAGAGCCCTCACATTTCCCTGGTGTCTTCACAGTCCATCCCCTCCCTCTTGTGAGATGAGTTAGGGGATAAAGTTTAGGGCTAAGATTGGCTAAGGGCTGAGGATGGGCTTGAGTGTGGCGTAAGGCAGTGATGGACTGACGTGGACAGGCCTGCTCCCCTGCAGCAGCATAAGCCATACTCTCTCTTTGACTGACAGGTGTTGCTTTCAGCTACTGCATTAGTGAAGTTGCTTTGCTTTGAATTTGTTTCATTGTCAGATTCGATTGGATGCAGAGTAGTTTTGAAAGTAGACTCAAGAAAAGGTCCTAACATCTCACTTTTTGGGTATTGTCTAAGAGAGTCACTTGCAACCAAGAACCCACACAGAATTGTTTGTACGGTAAGAGACAGAATAAAAGACATCAAAGGTAATAAAGATTCCCATGAATTGCAGGGTTTATTGTGTATACTTGTACACACTCAGAGATTCAGCCATAATACTAGGGTGAAATCATACTAGAGTATGGTAATAGTCTCTCAAGCAAAAATCTAGTCATCTGATGTTGGAATTGCATTCATTGGGAATGGGATCTGGGCAATAACTTCCCCTTCCCCTCACCCTTTTCCAAGAGATCAGGAGATATGCAAAGTGACAGGGACAAACAAGTTCACAGATAAGATGGGCATCCCCTGTGTGCTGGGGAGCTGAAGTAAGCAGATGATGTCTCTCTTTCACTCATTGCATGGCCTCAGGGCCTCTGAGACTTGGTAGGTGGCTACTTGTATTTCGGAGAGCTCTTCACTCCTGCTGCTGTGGCTGCTCCTGCTCTGTAGGGAAGAAGACATCTCCCTTTGGGAGCTGGGCTACATGAACAGGGTCAAGCACAGGCTGCTCTTCTTGCTGCACTGATGGTTCTGACTGGCTCCCATGCTCCAGGTGCTCCAGCAGCTGTCCTTTCTTTTCCAGTTGCTGCTCATCATCTTCCTTTGCTAGCTTTTGATCTAGTTGTTGGTCCAAAAGCTTCTCCTGTTCTAGTTGCTCCTTTAGCTGCTGCTCACTTTGTGTTTTGTTGTACTCTAACTGCTGCTCTGTGTTTCCTGTTTCCTGATGCTCCTGTTGCTGTTCATGTTGCTGTGGTTCTTGTTGCTGTTGATGCTGTTCTTGATGCTGTTTGTACTCCTGTGGTGATTGCTGTTGTTGTTGCTGGGACTCCACAGACTCCTGAGGCTCCAGAATCTCCTGTGGCTGCACTGGCTCCTGTGGCTGCACTGGCCCCTGTGGCTGCATTGCCCCCTGTGGCTGCACTGCCCCCTGTGGCTGCACTGTCTCCTGTGGCTGCACTGTCTCCTGTGGCTGCACTGGCCCCTGTGGCTGCACTGTCTCCTGTGGCTGCACTGTCTCCTGTGGCTGCACTGTCTCCTGTGGCTGTACTGTCTCCTGTGGCTGCACTGCCCCCTGTGGCTGCACTGTCTCCTGTGGCTGCACTGTCTCCTGTGGCTGCACTGGCCCCTGTGGCTGCATTGCCCCCTGTGGCTGCATTGCCCCCTGTGGCTGTACTGTCTCCTGTGGCTGCATTGCCCCCTGTGACTGCACTGGCCCCTGTGACTGCACTGGCTCCTGTGGCTGTACTGCACCCTGTGGCTCCACTGATCCCTGTGGTTGTTGTTGTTCCTGATGTTGTTCTTGCTCCTGTGACTCTTGTGGCTGCTGCTGTCCCTCTTGCTCAGACATCCCCTTCATAGGAGCTGTGTTTATTGTCCCTTCTTCTGAAGGAACTGCTACTGGGAACCCAAAGGGCATCTCCTGGCATGGGGCAGGCAGCAGAGTTGGCTGCTTCACTTGCTCATGTTGGATATTGGTAGGAAGACAAACAGTCTTGAGAGGCTGCTGGCTGAGGGCAGGAGGGATGGTCACTGGCAGTGTGAATTGCTGAGACATCTTGAAGGCTCCTTTATGTTAACCTGTAAAGTAGGAAGAATTTAAGGGGTAGACTGAAAGCAAAGAAAGCAGACAACGATTCCCCCCAACCCATGTTCCTCAACGCTAGTAGCTGTCTTCTGAGCACTCTTGCACTCCCTTTGGGTACAGAACAAGACACTTTCTTACTCCCTAGCACAATAGGTGTTTGAGGTGAGAGTGGGGACAAACAGGAAAGGACCTCTCTGCAGTCTCCTTGCCACCAAGCGAGAACAGTGGAAGCTCTGTCTCTATAGTTGTTCTGCACGAATGGGCTGGACACCATGAAACCTTTTGCTCTTCTTTGCGAACTTCATTTCAATCTTAGCCCTGACCTCCAGTGCCCAAGGAGGAGAGAAGAGATTTAGATTATGTTACAAAACAAGGTAAGATCCTAGGAAGAGAAATCAGCTGGAGGACTGCTTGGTCCTGGAAAACCAAACAGCGCGTGGTGGAAAGGATCAGAGAGAGGCCATCATAAGAGTCCTAGGTGAAGTCAAATGACATAATACAGTCTTATTTCTTCCACTAAATTTCTGCGCTTCTGGGAAAGCCACTTAACCCCTGTGCAAAATAAGCATGTCAGCCTACTTCAACCCTAAACCTTCTTTCACTCCCAATCTTTTGAGCTTTAGCTTCAGTACAAGTGCCTGGGTGGAATTGGATGGGGCTGGAAGAATTCAGAGATCTGAGAGGCAACTTTTTCAAGTCTTGTGCTTCTTAGTTAGGGTTTCCTTCCCCTGCTCTGCCTCAGTTTCTCCAGATAGGAAGACTTTCTTTCTGCAGTTCTTCTAAGGGTTAGAAGCATTCCTCTAAAAACCTACTGCATCCATAAATAAGGCAAAAATCATATTCTTCCCAAACCAATGCATTTTAGAAACAAAATAATCTCTTCATCCACTCCCACGATTTTACTTCACCAAACAAAGCAATTGCACAAGTCATTTCTAGCTCAGGACAATCCCTATTCATAGTGTTTCCAATGGCTGATCATTCAGATATTGATCACCAGGACTTTCTTCCAAGGCACCTTGGTGTGGACTCAATTATAGTTATTAGCTGGCCACTTAACAGTTTGCACCACTTAGGGAATCTTACATGTTCAAATCTTAAAATAAGATCCCAAGAAAAGAGGAGAGGGATTTTTCTCTCTGCTCTACGCAGTGACCTAAGTCCTGTGAGACGGAAGGTCCAGGTAATCCAGGTGAGTCCACTCAGAGAACGACACTCTCAACCACATTCTGGCTAGTGGAAGGCCACCAGACTCAAGTCTAACTCTGCCCCCTGATACTTACAGGCTCACGACAAAGATGGAGGAGTGAGAGATTTCTGGTGGAGTGCTGAGCACAGCATGGCTCAGGGCACACTTTATATCATTCCCGCCTGGCCTCCTCCCCAGTCTGAAGGGGATGGACTGGTTTCACCACTCACATTGCCTGACTTCCTCCAGTCACTGTCTGACTCACCACAGTCACCCTAAGCAGCAACCCCTTCTGGGCCCCTTTCCATAGGGACACTTAGCTCTCCTCTTACCAGAGGGTACTGGGAGTTCAGCTGCTCCCCTGACGCTCAGCTGACCCGTGCACATGGAGGCACCTGCTCCCTTTCAGCTATGTTTTTGTGACCTAACCAAATTCTTCCTCTGACTTTATATGTCTTTACCTGTAAAATGTGAGGAGGACTCTTCATTATGAGGCTGAGGGTTTGACATCCAAGGATGTGGAATGAGATGTTAAATGTCTTTCCGAGAGGTTCAGGCCCTGTGTGTGTTATATAAAGAAGGGGAAATTCACTTTTCATGTTAAGGATAGAGTTGCTGGAGAGTTCTCTTGGCCACAAGCTCTCGCCTGTTCGCTCTTGGGATTGTATCTCTGACTCCATTCTGTGTGGAAGTAAACTTGGTGCGGGGCTGTCTTCCCTGAGGCCACATTGGGTCATGAAAAGCAATTCTCAGGTCTCCTATTGTGTATGAGGGGCTTTTCAGTTTCTGTGTCCAACTCTGGTTATAGTGAAAGAAAGTCACAAGAGTGTTATAAAATCTCCAAAGCTGGACCACACTAGTGCAGGAAACAGGCCTTTCATTGTTACAGAGTGCTGGTGGCACAGTAGATGCTCTGAGGCTGTGGTCAGTGGATCCAGCTGATAAAGGGAAATAGTGTGAATCCAGCTTGGGAAAAAGATGAATCATTCTGCTTCTGTACATATTTACAACCTTGGAAACCCTCTCTGCAGTTCTATTCTGTTTTATAAGGTCACTCCAAGTCAGCATCAAACTGATGGCAGTTAGGCTTTTTATTTGTTTACATTGGTGGCACTGTGGTTAAAGCATGTTATTTCTCAGTGTCAGATCCGTGATTTGAAGCCATCAACATCTCTGCAGGTGAAAGATGTGGCAGGCTACTTCCATAAAGATTTATGTTGTTGTTATTGATTGCTGTTGAGTCAAATATGACTGACAGTGACTCTGTGAACAAAAGATCTAATGCCTTTTCATAACTATCATAATTTCTCCAAATTTGTAGAGTTTCTAGAGGCATGTGATTTAGGAAGTGGATGCCACTCCTACTTTCAAACCTGTTTTACAACTGGGAGCTCCACCAAACACTGTCCACATTGGGAGACCACTGTGGTATTTGATACCCCAATGACACAAAGCATCAGAGCAAACCCAGATTACTTAGTGCAGCAAATTGACGAAGAGTCATCTGTAAAGTAGAAGAATGTTCCTCCAACACTAGTCTCACTTAGCAGTGGTTAAGTGTCGTCAAGTTGAATATGACTCATAGCGATCCTATGAACAAAAGACCTGAACTCTTCTCTAATTAACATCATTTCTGCATGATTATAGAGTTTATAGAGTTTCCAGAGGCATCTCCTTTAGGAAGTGGATGCCACTCCTGCTTCCAAACCTGAATCAATGTGGAAGCTCCTCCAAACACTGTCCATGATGGATAACCATTTTGGTATCTGACACAACTATGGCACAGTGTTCAGCATCACAGCAACTCCAAGTTATTCAGTACAGCGAGTAGACAAATGACCACTGTATCACTTAAAGAACGTTCATTCTAAAAGGGGAAAAAAATCAATATCACAAATCAAACACAACCCAAAACTTTCCTTATGGGACCCCCGTCAAGAAGCAAGAAACCACCTTCCAGAGTGGAACCACTGAACAGGAGCTTCCTTCCAGGCCAGCCGCGGACCCAACCCCTCTTGGAAATTTTGCAGTGAAATTCTACTCGGTCCTGTAGGATCTATGGAAGTTGAAATTTGATGACAGCTGTGTGTGTGTGTGTGTGTGTGTGTGTGTGTGTGTGTGTGAAATTAAACCTCTGATTTCTTCAATATTTTTTCTTTAACATGATGATGTTGTTTATTGGTCCAGTTGTGAGAAATTTTATTTTCTTTATGTTGAAATGTAATTTAAAAAAAAATCTCTGGTCATTGGCATTCATCAGTAAGGGCTCCTACCTACTCTTATCTTTTAGCCAGCAAAATTGTATCATTTGTATATTGTAGGTTGTCAATGGCCTTTTTCTCCAATCTTTATTTTTCATTTAGTCCTACTTTTTATAATTATTCGCTCAGTGTGTAGATTGAATAAGTGTCGAGAAAGGACACAACTCTGATGAACACCTTTCCTGATTTAAACTATAGTCTTGTCTTGTTCTGTTCAAACTAATGCTTCTTGGTTCATGTACAGGTTCTGCATGAGTATAATTATTTGCTTTAAACAATTACCTCTTGACTTACGTATTATGCAAACGATTAAGTTTGAAATAGCCATTCTTCACAAATTATCTAGAATTTTTTTGTAATACACATAGTTGAATGACTTTGCATACTTAATAAAATACAGATAAACATCTTTCTGGTATTTTCTACTTTAGCCAAGATCCAATTTACATCAGCAATGATATACCTTGTTCTATAACCGTGTCTGAATTTGCTTGAATAATTTTCCACATATTTTTTATTGTGATTTGAAAGAAAACTTACAGAATAAATTAGTTTCCCTTCAACTATCCATACACATTTGTTACATGACAATTGTAATACCCACAATGTGGCTATCTTCCAAATTCCTCCCTGTGATTCTTGTTTCCATTAACCATTCTATGCTATCTCTTCCTATCTTTTGAGCTTTGTTGTTGTGGTGGTGTACTATTGGGTCAGAACTGACCCACAGCAGACCCTGCAGTGGGTTTTTGGAGGCAGTAATTGCACTGGAGGAGACAGCACATCCTTCTCCTGAAGAACAACTGGTAGATTTTAACTGTGTGGCTTTGGGAATGTAGCACAGCTTCTTACCACTAGGCCACCGAGCTCTGGCAAATGTTAATCTTTTGATCTTGTAAGATTGATTGTTTTAGTGTTAGTTTTCTCCTTACAGGATTACTTACTGTTTAGGTTATGTTGAGCAGCTGGGATGTTTTTCCAGGTTTGAAGGGTAACTAAAGGTCATAATCTCAGGTGTTCTACCAGTCTTTATCAAACCCATGGGCTGGCCATTTTTATGAATCTAACTTGAATTTCTGGTGGTTCCCTGATGATGCACAGCTACAACTGTTTTCAAATTCTTTTCAGCAGATTTTCACTTGTGTGTGACATTAATGATGTTGCTCAGTAATCTGTTGGAACACCTTTCTATGCAAAGAGAACAAATGTCGGGTCTTCAAGTTAGTTGGCTAGGTGGTTGTCTTCCAGTACAGGAAGTCAGTGCTTTCACTATTGCATCTGTTTCTTGAAATATCCCAACTGGTAGTCTGTTAATTCCTATATGTACAAATGGAGACCCAGTGGAGGGTCTTTCTGAATTGGAATTGAATTGGCAACAGTGGGTTTTTAAAATATCTATCTATCTATCTATCTATCTATCTATCTATCTATCTATCTATCTATCTATCATCTATCTTGTTATGTCAGAACTTTAGTTCAGTCAGAACTTTATCATAGCCAACCCTCTGGTGGGTTTTCAG